TTATTATCAGTTGTGCTGCTTCATATTTTTTTGGAAGCTGTGATAATTTTTTCAGGATTCTTTGATTAATAAAAAGTTCAAAAGATGAGTATTTATTTAAAATAGAAATATTTTCTAACAATACACACTACCATTGTGTAAAACTTTTATTCTTTCTTTTTTTGAAAGAAATTAAAACTTTTATTCAGCGAGGACGTGTTCAATTGTTAAGAAGTGATAGCAAAGATTTATATTGTTAGAAAAGATTTATATTTTGAGTAAATGCTGTTCTTTTTATTGTAATAACATTTTGCAAGATTACTGTTTTTTCTGTATTTTTGATCAAATAAATGCAGCCTTGATGAGCAGAACGACATAAAAAATCGTTCTGATCCCAAACTTTTGACCGGTAGTGTATTTACACTATATTGCCAAAAGTATTGGGACCCCCCCTTCTAATGTTTGACTACTTTAGTAATTTCCATGAGTACAAATCTTAATGTTTAAGCATATAATGCTATTCTAGGGAATTGTGTGCTTCTAATTTTATAGCAACAGTTTGGACAGGACCCTGTTCTATTCTAACATGACAGTGCATCTGTGTATAAGTCAAGGTTCAAAAAGAAATGATTGAGTGAGTCCGTGTGGAAGAATTTTCTGTATTTTTGATCAAATAAATGCAGCCTTGATGAGCAGAACGACATAAAAAATCGTTCTGATCCCAAACTTTTGACCGGTAGTGTATTTACACTATATTGTGTCTTCTAATGTTTGACTACTTTAGTAATTTCCATGAGTACAAATCTTAATGTTTAAGCATATAATGCTATTCTAGGGAATTGTGTGCTTCTAATTTTATAGCAACAGTTTGGACAGGACCCTGTTCTATTCTAACATGACAGTGCATCTGTGTATAAGTCAAGGTTCAAAAAGAAATGATTGAGTGAGTCCGTGTGGAAGAACTTGACCGGTCTGTAGAAAGCAGCTTTAAATGCAGACCTTGAGCCAAAAACTCATTAGCAAACACCAATGACTTATACATACACTATATGGACCAAAGTATTGGGACACCCCCTTCTTTAGAACAGAAAAAGACACTTCCAGACAAAGATGGAAACATAATTCATGTATTTAAAAATTGTATTTCCATCTCTGTTGCAACAGTTTTGAAGGTGTGTCTAAAACGACTGTACCCATATGTGAAGCGCATGAATCAGTGTCCGTATATATATTTTAATATTTTGTAATATTTCTGAAGTATTGGGTTTTATCAGTTACATTTAGGGAATAATATGTATGCTAATGTATGGCTGTTTCCTAAACCTCAGGAAAAAATTGAAGAACACAGTGTTGCACTGTTGCCTTCTTAACATTTACTTTGATGCTCTTTGCTTTGAATCTCATGTTGTGATGTGTTCAAGACAAACTAGTTGGTTTGTCTTGAACTCTTAATTGAAGAATGTAATGCTTATGGAGAAAATCTGAGAAATACTTCAGGAACACAAGTCACTGAAAAAGAGGCAGTGTTGTTATTGTTAATTTAGTTATTTACTGTATATAGTTATTATTTTTTTGTTAGCTTTTGTTCATTTAAATAAATCAGAAATTAAAAACTTAAAAATTTGAAGCACTAAAAATGACTAAAACTAAAACTGAAATAAATATAAATTAAATTGAGAAATAAAAATACTTACACAAATGCCAAAAGCACTTAACAAAATGACTAAAACGGAAAATGCTATAATAATAAAGTGGGTAGTCACTGTAGCGCTCTGTTACAAGCGTGTCAATCATTGCTCCTGATTGCTACTTGTTTATGTAATTATGTGCAGAAGAATCAGGCACACAGAAGGCGGAGCCAGTGGAAGCCACGCCCACACAGAGTCCCGCCCCCACGGGAGAGGAGGCTATGCTGATAGAGCAGCTGAGAAGGGTGCGTCAAACAAACCGCTTTTCCATCATGTATTATTTATTTATTGATTATAGACATACATACATATATAAATATATATATACACACTACCAGTCAAAAGTTTTTGAACAGTAAGATTTTAATGTTTTTTTTAAAGAAGTCTCTTCTGCTCACCAAGCCTGCATTTATTTGATCCAAAGTACAGCAAAAACAGAAATATTGAAAAAAAATTGAAATATTTTTACTATTTCAAATAACTGCTTTCTATTTCAATATATATTAAAATGTAATTTATTCCTGTGATTTCAAAGCTGAATTTTTAGCATCATTACTCCAGTCACACGATCCTTCAGAAATCATTGTGATATTCCGATTTGCTGCTCAAAAAGCATTTATTATTATTATGGAATTGTTCAGGTTTCTTTGATGAATGCAAAGTTCAGAAGAACAGCATTTATCTGAAATAGAAATATTTTGTGACATTATATCTCTTTATATGTCTTTATCATCCCTTTTGATCAATTTAAAGCATCCTTGCTAAATAAAAGTATTAATTTCTATAATTTCTTTCCCAAAAAACAAAAAAATATATTTACTGACTCAAGCTTTTGAATAGTATAATGTTACAAAAGCGTTTTATTTCAGATAAATGCTGATCTTTGGATCTTTCTATTCATCAAAGAATCCTGAAAACTGTTTTAAATATTGATAATAATAATAATAAAAAAATTATTGAACAGCAAATCAGCATATTGTACTTATTTCTGAAGATCATGTGACACTGAAGACTGGAGTAATGATGCTGAAAATACAGCTGCACATCACAGGAATAAAATACATTTTAAAATATATTATTGCAATATTACAATATTGATGCTTTTGCTGTATTTTGGCTCAAATAAATGCAGGCTTGGTGAG